CCTACCGGCTCCTCTCTCTTCCTATCTCTCTCTCTCTCTCTCTCTCTCTCTCTCTCTCAGTTTGGATTTGGGGAAAGAACGAAGTGTTCCCTCCCTTCCCTCTCCCTCTCTCTCTGGTGCCGTGACTTCTCGTTGATGAAATTTTATTGTGAATGACTTTTTTTTTTTTTTAATGAACAATTGTTTCACGCATTTCTAGAAGGGTGCAATCTTAAACACTCCAATTAAGGCACCTTCAAATTTTTCGGATGTAATTGTATTGTAAAAAAATCTTAATATTATATTAAAATCTATGTTTATACTTAATTAGGAAATTTGAAAATTAAAAAATGGTTAAAATCAAGTAGATCTAAGTATATGAAAATCTTGAAAATGAACGGTGTAGATAATGTGTTGCAAGATGTACTATTTTTGGGACTCAAAAATTTTTTTTTTTATATTCATACATCTCGATGTCGAGATGATTGATTAGAGGGTTTTTTCAACATTAAAACAATATTTCCGATAGATTTTTGAGGTGCATATGTGATTCTACATTTTAAGGTTGCAACCTTATTAAAACTTTCCCCTTTCTACAATTCTAAATGATTTCTTAATATAATTATTATTTTTAGTTTTAAAATTTGTTTATTTTTCTTATTCATGATCTCCATATTAAAGTTTATATATTTTCTAAAAATTAAGATTAAATTATATCTAACAAATATATTCATTACCAAGCCCACATTTCTAGAATATGCGGGCTGGCCGCATGCTAAATGCGTCCTTTTTTTTATATTTGAAAAAAAGTGCCATTTATATAGAATTTTTTTTATATTTGAAAAAAGGTGCCGTTTATATAGAACCTTGGCTTTAAGCAATCAACTAAAGGGCATCTTCAAATAGTGTCGAAAAATGTAGTTCCAATACTGGAAATCTTCATGAAAGCTTTATAATATATTTTTATATCTAATTATAAAATTTCAAACTTAAAACAAAGTAGATCAAGCGGATCTATGAAAACTTGAAAATCTTGAAAATTAACGATCCAAAAATGCATTACAAGATGCACTATTTCCAAACCTTGAAATCTATTTTTTTCTCATGTCCATGCATCGTGATGTCGAGATCATCAATTTGAGGATATTTGGGCATCAAAACAACCAGTGAAATTTTTTAGGTGCTCTCTAATTGATTGTTTAGAGCCTCACACTTATATAATTTTTTTTTTTTTTTGAAAAATAACCTAATTACCCATATTTTTTATTTTGTAGGTGAGAAGTTTAACACTAAGATATCATCCTCAAAGTCTTTTTTTAACTATTAGGGTCGATTACACAAATCTTGATCCGCCACTCTATTAGGCTAAGACCCTCAATAAGCCGATAAATACCAATTAGGTTTTTTTTACTACTTTTAACCATCTCTTTTTGAGCCTACCCATTGTTTTTTTTTAACAAATTTGACACTAGGATCAATATGCATATATACGTTTGGTGGACACTTGGTTTCTAAAGAAAACATTGGAATTTCCATGTTTAATGTTCTTTAACTTGAACGTCGCAAGTTGATCTTCTTGGACCCCAAGAGCTCCTTTATAGCATGCCGAGGTGGATCTTAGGAGAGCTTAAGTTTCTCCTATATACTCAGCGGAAATTGGTTTGATTGGGTGCAGTTCTGTCAAAATAAGTGAAGATCACGTTATAACTCATCGAAAATTGCCATTCAAGTGTTAGAAAACTTTTATATTGATCATTTTGGCTTGTACATTATGGTTGTGGAAAAAAAAAAGATTCTAAGCTCTAAAAATAAGGTATATTGTAACAAATTATCTAGACTATTCATTTCACCCTAAAAGTAAGTGCTCATAGGCCCACAAAATTAGTTTCGAATTTCCTTATTGGTGTTGGAAATTGAATTTAGGGCCTTCATGAGGATTTCTGTTGCCGAAAATGCTTTATGAATAAGGATTTGAGGTGAAGCTTTAGTTTGTTTTTATAAAGCCCAGGTCTTATAGATACCTCGTCCATACCTTGTTTTTTTTTTTTGGAGTGAGTCAGTGGGAGAGGGCCCTTACTCTTGATAGGAATTCAGCCTAGGATGTAGCATTGCAAATTGTTAAGTGTTAACCAATCAAGGTATAAATTAAGGTAGTTTGGAAAAAATAAAAGATTGGGAATGAATGTAAGTAGTAACATCCAAAAGAGACTTTCAAATAATGATAATTTTGTGGATATTTGCATACATTTCTCAATATCATATACACTTGAGGTATTGAGCATCCGCTGTCAAAGTTGGATGGTGGGGATGAACCATAACTCCAGTGATGAAAATTAACCCCAAAATACTATTCTTTGTTGATTGTGCAATGAATGTTGTGGAGGACATCAAATTAATCATCTTGCCTCGACAGTACAAAAAAAATATTTCAAGTCATAAAAATGATATATTTTATAATACATTATATGGACCGTCCATTACAAGTATAAATAAATGTAATACAAATCTTCAAATTCTTTGGCAAGAGGTAGAATTAAGGCTATCACACTGAGGATTTGAGATGTGGGTTTCTCGCTTACTATAAAACTGCGGCCTCACAAAAACTATATTCTTAGTTTGGATGGAAAATAATCCAATAGCATTGGCGCTGCCCATTTTCTTAGTTGGTTAAGTTAACCTGTCCCCCTCTCTTTGAAACAAGGGGTGCTTCTAGTTCCATATGTGCTTCAAAGAGTATGTGAATCCAAATGTCCCATTCATTTTAGACAAACTAAAGATTATATATTATAAGGCCATTTACCATTTGTATAAGAAGGTTACAATTATCTTGAGAGCTGTCAGATGTCACTTCTCGATACAGTTTTATTCACCTTGGCAGCCTTCTAAAGCATATTTATCGTGATGCCAATATAGTGGTCAATATTTTTACCAAAGAAGTCCCAATTTTTTCAGATGCACAATCTAGATTGCCAGATTTTCTCTCTATTGTGCCGTTACTTCAAGATGTGGTACTACTTCCCTATTCTAAGGTTTTAAACTTATGAGTTTACTTTCTTTTCATTATTAGTAAAAAACGGGCAGAAAGCTTTCTCTTGATTTCCCAAAAAACAAAAATCTTCTAAAACATTGTTTTTTACAAACGTTTGAATATTCTTGGCGGCTGCAGGAGTTTGATGGGGGCAGACAGTTTCTTTTAATCGATTTATTTATTTACATTTGGATTGGGACAAAATATACTAAGGTAAAATGATTTGTACTAGAATGTGTAAATCCTCACCTTAGAAATCATCTAAAATAGCAATTCAAAGCATTGGAAAACCTTTACATTGATCTTCTAAGCTTGAACACTATGCATGTAAAAAGAAATTTGAATTTCAAGTTTTAAAAATATTGTAGACTGCAACAAAATATTTAGACCGTCCATTTCGCCCTAAAAATAAACGTTTCATAGATCTGCAATATTTGTACTGTTTTTTGAGTTTCAAATTTTATTGTCAGTGTTGAAAATTGATTTTAGAACTTTCATGAAGTTTTCTATTGCCAAAAGTACTTTCTCGGACAAGGATTTAAAATGCGGCTTTATTTTGTTCATAAAACCTATGCCTCATAGAAACCTCATCCTATGTAAAGAGATGGACAACGTAAAGTTTTAGAGGTGCCCTTTCTCTCTTGGTATAGTCCCCAAGACCACATGATCAGAAGAGCAATCAACCTTTATCAATGGTTGGATGGCGATGAAGATAGAATGGTGCCATCATCGACATTGTCACATTCAGCCAGGTAACACTCCATCACCATCCAACCCATCACTTGGATGGTAATGAGCCGTATGACCCCATATGGTATATGGTCATAATGATTATAATATACTTACTGTCTTTCAAAAAACTCAAGACAGATGTCATGGAAATGTGTTATATGATAGATAACAAGTTAACACTATTCTCGCTGGGTGATGTTTGCTCGACAACAAAACGGGGAAACAAGGATCTGCGATTGTCGGTATAGAATGATCAATATGGTCATGACAACAACACGACCATGAATCAACATCTTCTCAATGAGTTGTATGGTGATAGAGGGAGCAGGTCCCATCAAGCATTACAATTCATTTGTATCTCCTGTCTTCCGGCCATCACCATTCACTGTCAAACCCATTCCGTTGCACAGAGATAACAACCATGTCGAACCCATTTGAATGCACAGTGGTAACCCAACGGTGATGTTGTTATCATGAACACGTGGATCATACTATATTTTTCCATTTGTTTCCCTCTGAACTTCTCGGCCCTGTCTAGAGGTGCTGATGAGTTGCCCACACAAGGTAACCTTACTAGTGTGATAAGTGAAATACCTTTTCCAAGAAATGGCACAAAAGACTTCTTGCCTTGGACTAGAGATTTCTTAAAAATAGACTCATAATTGCAACAAATGAAAGCCCTTCATCACCCTTCATTCTTCACATCAATTATATTACTTTCCGGTCAAAGAATTAACACCAAGTTATAATACAAGAAGCTTTATATGGTTAGATTCTCCTGAATGATGGAGAAGGTGCCTAGTATGTTTCCCCCAACATCAGGGAAGGTTTCACAGCCAGGTAGGGCCTTCACCTTACCATTTGCCAAAACCTCAACAGGGTATTTTAAGAGATGGCCCCTAATTTCTGTTTTCTCCTCTGAAGCAAACTGTTTCCAGTTCATCTCTGCAAGTGTCCTTATCTTTCTCACACATTCTAGAGACTCTGGATTAGAAAAGCACTTATCAACTAAACCGGTGTGCTCCGCCCATAACGATAATCGGTAGCCATAGACCTACACATGAACAGACTTTTCGTAAGTTGATGTACAATAACTCCGCAGTTTATAAAGTACTAAGTGCAGTTATTTCAGTATTTTCAGAGAAAAAAAAAAGACGTGCCAAAAAATAACTTTTGTAACTATTAATTAGTCCAGTTCGAAAAAGAAAATGGCGTTTCAGTCATTAAATATAATCTTAAATAAACAACTGTACTTATAAAACAAGCTTTGGGTGTTCTTCTTGTAGTAGGAGAAAAGTCAAAAGTATGAATGTTAATAATGGTTTCATATTCTAGTAGGAACTGAGGAGAAAGCATCAGAGGTACCCTATTCTAATCCTGCAAGATAAGCCACCACATTGGAAAACAAACGACCAAAACATGAACAACTTCAGGGCAATTTTGGCTACATCTAAAATACATTAGATGTATTATGCCCTGATTGGAAGGACGACACATCAAGAAATGAGTCTGTTATTCCCCCACCAATGCAGGAGAATAATCTTGTCTACTATTCAGGGACACAGGCTTTTTCATCATTGCTTAATAACATAAAAACAAAAAACTGTTTTTATCACAGATTGCCTTCTTTAAAGAAAGTTTTGGACTGTCTGAAAAGGGACGTAGTAGTTTGCATTTAATTATTAATTTTTAATATAATTAATGCAGTCTAATGTATTTGTAGAGCATGTAAGCTGTGACAATATGTGACAATATAGATTATCAAAATGAAAGTCTCAATAAATATAGGAAAAAGTTTATATAAGGATGCAACCTTATAATGTAGAACTACGGATGCACCTCAAAAATCTATCGGAAAAGATAGTTTTAATGTTGGAAAACCCTTTGATTGGTCGAGATAGTTTTAATGTTGGAAAACCCTTTGATTGATCATCTCGACATCGAGATGTATGACCATGAAAAATAAAAAGATTTTAAGTCTAAAAAATAGTGCATTTTACAACATATAATCTACACCATCCATTTTCAAGATTTTCCTTGATTTTAACCATTTTAAAAATTTAAAATTTTATAATTAGATATAAAAATAGATTTTGAGACAATCCTAAGAACATTTTACATCAAAATTATATACCATGATAAAATTTGAAGGTGCACCTTACCTCTACAGCTACGGATGCATCCGCATGCCAACTGCACCCATAAATATAAGACACAATTACAAAACACTAGTTGGAGGTGCGTTTTAAGTAAGTACCTGACCACATGGATTTGATAAGTTTCTAGCCCATGTATGTTGGGGCTGGTAAGCACCCATTGCAATTTCAGAATCCCTAGAACCATCCAATGATCGTTGGTTGATGTTTGCCGATCCGATGATTACATACTCATCATCCACTACCATGCCTTTCGAGTGAACATAGATCATGAATCGTCCACTCCTTTTAGCAAGTTCCTAACAAAACCAACATTTTATTTTCTCATAACTTCCAATGAAATAATATGAAGAATATGCTTTGTCAAATTTAAGGCGTACACTGCACAAAAAAAAAAAATCCTAATTTATAAATACAATGAACTTGTATATATAAAGGGGTTTGTACAAGGTCGGCACCTTAAATATTCAAAGTAAGCCGCACATCAAATTGATGCCAAAAGATGCCATTCCAATGCCGAAAATCCCTATGATGGTCCCCAAATCTATTTTTATATCTAATTATAAAGAAGCTTCAAAAATAATGCAGATCAAGTAGATCTACGAACACTTGAAAATCTTAGAAATATACATTCTAGATAATACATTAGAAGATGCACTGTTTTCAGGAATTGAAATCCTTTTTTTTTCCACATCCATATATTTCGGGTCGAGATGATCAATTAGACAGTTTTCGGTGTCAGAGCAACCTTTTCTATTGAGTTTTTCAGGTGTCTTATTTCTATAGTATAGGGTTGACTCCTTATATAAAGTTTTTTCATATATAAAATAGGACTAATACTACAGACCAAAAGGCTGAAAAAAACCATACTCTGTTGGTTCATGACTGCCACATGTAGCGAATGGTGATGGAGAGAGAATGGTAACCGTCATTGATATCATCTTCTATTTCAGTGGGTCCCAATCTCTCTCTAACATCATCTGATCATCAATCATTTCATTGGATGGTAATGGCCCTCATGTATTATGGTTTCCATAGTCCATTGGATAATAGTGTGCTTATGCTTATGTAAATTATCCATGAGGAAAGCCTAGGTAGTAAACAGAGAAATAGAAAAATAAAAAAGAAACAGCTTGAGAGTCAAGAGGATTTACACGAGGATTATTTGCTGGACTTGAAACTGAAATATCTCCATCTGGGATCTCACGATTTCCAAGACAGAAGAAGTTCAAATAATCTTGAGGCTGATATGTCTTTTCAAGCCCCATTTCTTCCAATGCCTTATAGATGATCTCATACATCATTTGCATTGTTTTGTGCTGCCACAACAATGAAACCAAGTCAATGCGTGTAGAACAGAGTAATGGATACACAAATCTAAACATACAATAAACATGTAGACACTAGACGACTTATTCATGTGCATATCACATATAAATGTAAGGAAAGATGAAAGAATAACAAAATATTATAAGACTAAAGAAATCAATAATACTAATGTTGGGTGGAATTTAAAATATCCATAACTCCTTCCACATCCTACAAAACTATGCCAACGTATCAAAGTTGTGAAGCATTTAGAGTTTATAGAAATTTGTTTGATATTTGGAAATTGGTCATAACTATATTTACAATCATGGAAAATTTGCTAAAAAATAACATTAATTTCCATTTATATTAAAAGTTCTCAAAAAAAGGAAAATAAACCATCATCATCATCATATCTTTTTCCCGACTAATTGGAGTCGGCCACATGAATCCTAGTCTGCCATTCTACTTATTAAGGGCCTTACCCGCAATGAGGCCATGAGTCCCCTTATCCTTTCTCACTACTTCCATCGACTGTTTTAAAATGCAGGATGCAGTCCATATACGGATGCATCACCCCGATGCGATCAATAAATATAAAAAATTTTAAAAATATAAAAAAATAGGCTAATGAATAGAAAAAATATGGAAGTGATTTATGTGATACTAGGTAATTAATTTATTCATTAACTCCAAAAGTATCAGCTGTCGGGGATTATGTATCCACTATCCCCTAATAGATCATAGAAGACATCAAGAAAGTAGAAACTACTAGCTTCATAAATCATTTAACATATCACAAATTTGCAACCACAAATTTTAAAGTTACAAAATACAAACTAAAAGTTCATGAAGATTAAAGAGTTCAAAAGTATCACACCCAATAGAAGCAAAGATCGATTTCTTCTCAGCCCTTGGAACCCTCAATTTGTTGTCAAAACTTCCTCAAATCAACACCCAAAAGAAACAAATCAACAACCAAAGACCAACCAATACAAAAATCTAAGAATTTAAAAAACAAATAATTCTGCCACTTTTTATTATTATTGATTTGATGAAGTAAAGGCTATAGATGTGGCTGTTTTTGGTAGTTTGGGGGTTTTAATACCCCCAAAACCCTTTCCCTCCTTTTTTGGGGCTTAAACCCATTCTCGAGTAGCTTTTTTTCATATCTCTCTGGCTGCATATGCGACCTCTGCGGGATGCGGCCGCATATGCAGCCAGAGTCCAAAGTGCATATGCGGTCTCATGCGATGCGGTTCCCATCGCATAACACATTATGTGGCTGCAAATGCGGCAATACGGTCTCATTTTAAAACCATGCTTCCAACACTGTCCATTTGGGCCCTATTTGAGCTTTCCAATTCCATGGCCGGAACAAAATTGGATACATGTTACACCACGATTTTGAATCAAAAGAGAGATTTCAAGAAAGGGCAGCCAACTTAAGTCTACTTTGTCTCATCTTATTGCCTATTGGTCCTATACCTAAGTTCTCCCGAATGTACTTATTTCGAATCCTATCCCTTATTGTCTTGCCACTCATCCATCTCAACATCTTCATCTCAGCTACACTCATTCTATGGATACGTTGTTTCTTGACTGCTCAACATTCTGCCTTATAAAGCAAATATGATATCACAGCTGTCCTATAGAACTTGCCCTTCAACTTCATTAGTATGTGGCGATCACATAAAACTTTGGCTGCTATAGTTTCCTAGGGTCCCAAAAAAAATGAAAACAAAAGATAAGAAACTAACCTACTGTCTCATGTTCATCATTTGAGCACACAAAAATAATTTTTAAATTGGATTATAACAAAAAAAAAAAAAAAAAACTTCAAATCATGCATGAAAATGTTTGTGTGCATACAATGCTAGGTCATTCCATTATCTATATGGCACTCATAAAAAGAAAAATATCCCCTTAATTACAATTACACAAAAACATTATTCCATAAGAAACACATTATTATTTGAGCCCACGTCCAGAAAAAAAGAATCTAGGATAAAGCTTTCAATTTCTTGAGAACATGACACACATGAAACAAAAAAAAAAGTCTTGTTTTCTCAATATAACACGACATTCATAAGGTTCATAGAAAGATAATAAGGATAGACCAATTCCTAATAGAAAAGGCAAGTAAAAAGAAGCACTTCTGAATTTTTCATTCATAATTGGCACAAAGAGGCATATAAGATGTGCACATTCTTTATACAAATCACAAAAACTAATGTCATACATGCTGTGTTATAAATTTGCTGATTTCACTAAAAAATTGATTTACACTTTAATTTGCTAATGCGAATGAAAAATACCATTTCAAAGTGGTCTGCACCTACCAAGAAGGGAATAATGTGATGACTATTGCATATTCAAAATGATCTTCGATTTACCATAGAGTCAAATTATCTCAATGATGTCTGAATTCACTCACCTGCCAGAAAAGAATCCTTTGCGTAGGTACACTTGTTGGAACACCCTCTGGCCACATTGGAATAACTATATATGCAGAAAACCTCTCATTGGCTTTGATCTTACTAGCAATTTTAAGGGCAATCTCCATGGGTATCAGATTATTGGCACCTACAGATTGACCACAAATTACTTAAGTCCTACTCCACAAGTACAGAAACAACTTTTTATTAATTGTAAGAAAAAACAGTTAGGTCCTTTTTTTTTTTTGGGTAAGTCAGTGGGGGAGAAGTCCCCCTACCTGTTTTTCATTAATAAAAATCATAGAGAAATAATTGATTATTCTACAACCTTATAATAGGGCAATTGCACCAAATCATGAAGTAAAAGCAGAAAAATAAAGTACGACGGTCGAAAACGCCAAATAGTAGCTCTAGAACTAATAGAATGCTTCTTAACAAGGGCATCGGCTATCATTTGACCTCATGAAAAATATGGGATATTGGCCATAGATGTGGTAAATGTCTACTCTGACAATTAGCAGTAACCGTTTGTAACCTCCACAGGGCACGACAACAGTTATGGATGACATTCACAAGTAAGGAGGAATCACTTTCTACTTGGAAAGGAAAGTAATTATTTTCAATGGCCATGCCAATTCCTTCTTTAAGGGCAAAAAAAATCAAACCAACATATATTCACTTGTTCCATAGCAAAACACAAAAATGAACTTTATGATTGTGTTTTTTCTAATGTAGTAGATGATGGCCACTTCTCTTTTTATGTCAAGAGTGTTACTTTTTCTCGAAGCACTCACTCCATTGTGCTTGTGAGGTGCTTTTTTTCAATCTTAAGCATAGTTTCTAGTTTTGTTTGTCATGTATAGTACTGATCATTAACTCAGTCAGTCATTGTCTTGGACACATAAGTTATGGGATTTGGGCACATCCACTCACTGCATACACATGTTGACATGCATACATACATACATAATTAAAGATGTAAGACAGCACAAGTACATTGGATTCCATGAACTCTCACTTGGGGTAAGAATGAACTTGGATAGGTCAGCTCTTAGGATATCCTTGTATCACCAAAGGTGAAGAAAATAAAAACAATGTATGTGTTATCATGAATCTTTTAGCAAAAGATAGTCTCTATAAGTAGGAATGTAGGATTATCATCAAATTTCAACTCTATGGACTTTTTGTCATTCAAATAACACAATTGATTATCAGCACATAAATATCCAGAGAAAAGGCATTTCCAAGGTTCACACTGATGACAAAACCAAGCTAATACAGCCTTGACATCTAGCTTTAGACCATAAAACCTTGATCATTCATCGAAGACATCTATCTATGAGAATATCACGGAGATTACCAACATCACTGTGTGCAGACCAATTATATGATGATCCAATGAAGTATTGATTTTCGATATAAATGAAATGTTGGGCAGATCGAATGGCCTTTACATAAGCTGTGTGTATGCTCATGTCTATGATAACATTTTTCCCACACGCAAGGTTCTGTCACAAACAAGGCAGCAGTTAGGACCTATTTGTCACAATAGAGAATGACTTGACAGAAATGTTAAGAAGAAACCAACCATCACAAAACATGTGATACTAAAATGAACTTTTACCTACCTTGCTAGTGGCAAATTTTGGGTCTTTGGGAAATCCCTTGACCGAATTTGAGTCAATGGACCGGAAAATCTGTATTAATCAGGAAGGCGGCAAAAGATACAGTAAATTTGTGCTAATAATTGACGATAAGATCACAGGCTATCACTGCTATAATATATCACATATTGTGCACTAAGAGAGATGCACTAAGAGAGAACCATAGGCCATTGGACCATAACTGTCCACTGGAGGAGAGTGGGTCCCACTGATGGTGATATGTCTAGTTCTAGTGACCCCATTATCTCTCCATCACTATCCATCCCTCAAATGGACTATGGTTTTCCCATAGTCCAGATGATTATAATTGAGTTAACTACATTAAGATGATATCGACCTGGATATAATTATACAAAAAGAACTATCAACCTGAACATGCCATGACTCTGGATCTGACTCATTTGAGTATGAAGTGTCATCCAACCCAACTATGTCAGGAATTCTTTCAAGTAAGAGTAGAGAATCATCATATGATCGCTTGAGTTTACTAAGTCCATGTCGTTTGGAAGCCTTCAACCAACGCTCTTGAAAGTTTGTGAGAACATCATATGCCGCTGGACCATCAATTCTAGAATGCAAATCATGCCATGGTTCTCTTGGACCACTCACGTCAGGCCCTGCCTATTAAATACCAAGCAGAAACAGTAAAGGTTAAGTGACCATCATACTTCATTGGAATCATCACCATCCAATATAAAGGACACTGATGGACAAAGAGTGGACCCGATTTCTTCATGGTTACGGGAGCAACAAGCGCCCATGCCCTCAAAGGAAATTAAAGAAATTTTTATTATACTGTAAGAATTCTTTTTTAAACAAAGGAGGAAATAAAAGACAACTCATCCAAGAAAAATGCATATCATTATGGATTACTTTTCCTTACAGCAATATATCCAGAAAAGGTATGGATATATGACCTAGAGATTTCAAATATGCATGGTATTATGACTGTATCAAGTTTAAATCATAACTAACAGATGGAAATTATCAAAAAGAGAAAACCAATTAAGGACAGAATCATTCAAATGACCATGTTGAAATAGAGGTCCAATAGTAAAAGAGCCTCCTGATGACCTTAAATAGACTTAACTAGACTTGATTTTGGATTCCCTCTTGAATTTTCTAATCGATGGAGTTGAGCCTTAAGCCCACAAATCCATTTTTTGATTAACTGATGTCTGCTAGAACTATCCAAGCAAATTTTGTACAAGACAACAACTTTTCTTCAATATGCCCATTTATAAGCATTACATATCCAATCCATCAGTAATAAGGAAAGACGGTTATATTTACTTGATGTGCCTCCTTGCCAGATTACATGGAATCAATTTAATCAACTCATGTAATGGTGATGATGATGATGATAATGTAATGGTGATGAAGACATTGCTTGCAATGTTTGAAACTTGAAAATGTCATCAATCTAGAAAAACGAAAAAAAGTCTTTCGTAACAAAAATGTCGCCAACTCCATTCACAAAATTTCCACTTAAATAGTAAAATATCAAACTGATCACTCATTTGATCAGGCCAAATAATAAAAAAAAAGGATAAGTATATACATGAATTCAACATGCGGCTTTTGGTTGACAACAATTTAGACTAAACCAGTATAACTATACAATTTTGCAACATTCAAGTGTGGATTCACTTATAGCTTGAAATGATACAAATAATTAAAAAATTTACCGGAAAAGTAGGGTTATGATAATCTTCTTTGTGCACAGTCTGTAAAGTCCTGAATAGTGGATGCTTTGGAGTATCATATCTTCCATCACACAAATCAAGTCCTCCCACAAAAGCTATAATTTTTCTTTTATAGTTACCAGCATCAGCATCCACAATCACAGTTTTCTGATGATGAGTATAGATTGCTCCAACTTCCTGAAACCAAGGTAGACAAGATATTAATTAAAAGAAAATTCACATTTTTTATTGCAGCATGGAATGCAAGCAAGCCAAGAACAGGTGGTCTAGCAAATTTAGCATCCAGAAAAGTGTGCTGCCAATATGATATGCCTTTGTCAAAACTTAAAAGACAATGATGACTCCTTAAATTCTCATTTCTTAACATATTTCAGTAAGCTCTGACTACGAAAATGGCAGTGTCAATATAATTCAAAGGGTACTCCTAAATCAAGACTTGCTCTATAGGCAAAAATATCATCATCATCATCGAAGTCTTTTTCCTACTAATTGGTGTTGGCTACACGAATACTGGTCAGCCATTCTGCTCTATCAAGGACCGTACCCTCTGTGAGGCCATAAGTCCCCATATCGTTTATCACTACTTCCAACCATGTCCTTTTGGACCTACCCCTTGCCTTTTTTTAGCCTTTCACTTGAACTAAATCGCACCTCCTTGCAGGTGCTCTACTGGGTCTACGTCACACATGGCCAGCCCACCTAATTCTACTTTCTCTCATCTTATCACCTATTGGTGCCACACCTAAATTCTCCCGAATGTATTCATTTCAAATTCTATCCCTTCTTGTCTTGCCACTCAACCATCTCAACATCCTCATCTCAGCTACACTCATTCTATGGTATGTTTGTCTTGATCACCCAACATAACAAGACATAAACTTCGAAAGTACTCCAACAACAATTGTTTAGAATATGTTGCTCAATATCAATTCTAGATATTAACAACGAGGATGGATATGGACAGATAAATGAAACTACATAAAATAAGGTCGTAATTATACACTTGTCCAAAATTGAGTAAGAACATATAAATATAACCACCCAATCTAGGATATTCCAATTCCCCAGTTTTTCTTTGGTCTGAATAAGGGATTTAAAATAGTTGTGCACAAAGCTGGAGTACAAATCCCATTGAAAGTAGAGAAACAGTTTTAAAAGGTGGTGAAACTTGAATTCAGTGGGAAACTCATCTCTCAAGAACAATTCATAAACTAGTAACATACCACTCATTGAATTAGTGAAAGCTGTGTTTCAACCACTTTTCTTCCCCTTCTTGTCCCTCACACTTCAACTACTTTTGGAATTAGCATCATCATTATCATCAAAGACTTTTTCCAACTAATTAGGGTTGGCGACATAAATCCTGGTATGCCACTTTGCTCTATTAAGGGCCATACGCTCAGTGAGCCCATAAGTCCCTGTATTTTTTCTCACTACTTCAAACTATGTCCTTTTACGCTTACCCCTTGCTCTGTTTGAGCCTTCCACTTGAACTGACTTGCACTTTCTAACAGGTGTTGTACTCGATCTGCGCTACACGTGGCCAGCCCACTTAAGTCTACTTTCTCTCATCTTATCGTCTATTGGTGCCACACATAAATTCCCCCGGATGTATTCATTTTGAATTCTATCCCTTCTTGTCTTACCACTCATCCATCTCAACATCTTTTTAGCTACACTAATTCTATGGGTGTGTTGTTTTTTGACTGCCCAATGTTCCACCACATAAAGCAAAGATGGCATCACAGCTGTCCTATAGAACGTGCCCTTCAACTTCATCAGTATGCGCCGATCACATAAAAATTTAGTTGCTATAGCTTCCTAGGGTCCCAGACAAAATGATAACAAACGATAAGAAACTAAACTACAGTCTCATGTTCATCATTTGAGCACATAAAAATTGGAATTTACCAAAAAAAAAAACAAGGATCTTCAAATCATGCATGGTACGTCTATGTGCATGAAATGCTAGGCCATTCCATTACGGGTGGCTAGATTCAGGCATTTAAGAGTTCAATATCTTTTTTTTCCTAGTTGTTAAACTGACGAAGATGAGTCAAGCTACAAATTTTGGGGAATGAAACAACCTAGGGCCTCAATCTGACACCGTTATTTCTCTTCATAGAAAACACCATAATATTTTTTTCTTTTTCAATAGTTTTATGGGCTTACTTTGCTATGACCAAAAGAGTGTGTTTTCAAAATTTGGATCTAAAGGTCCCCAAGGCCTCAAGAAATGGTGTAGGATGGACACTAAAGTGGTCCATTGGGCGAATCAAATCTTTTTTACACATCTCTCTCTCTCTCTCTCTCTCCATACACAAAAAAAAAACAAAAAAACAAATATCAGAGGTGTATACATACTTTGGTAATGGTCTGGACCTTCTTGTACGAAATGTAAATGGTCTTATTATACACTCTCTTTATATGACTGTATGTGTGTGTGTGCTTGTTAGTATAGATGAATAGATAGACAAAAAAGAAATCCAATTAATGAGATGGATAGATATATATTGACACAGACATACTGGAGCACAGTGAGGACTACCATTGCACAGGAACAAACATACATATTCTGACACATCGATTGAAAAAAAACATACATCTTCATCAAAAAGATGATCTCTGAAATCATCAAATAACCAAAATGTCTAAATTAAACATGTAAAGAAACCACAGAAAGAGACAAGTGATAACCTGTGGTTCCTTTTTTGCAGACTACTATTTCCCTGATGCAGCCTTGCACATTCAATAAACAAAAAGAATATGTTCCTTTTTATGGGTACAATAAATTTTTTTTGACATACGACCATAGAACAAAGAAATTACTATTTCTGGGACAAGAAGTTGCAATTCTCTTACACATCGCAGCATGTGATAGCTCGAAAAAAGCTGCAACAGGCTCTCTGGGTGCTTAAAAATTTATGGAGGTATCCTTAAGCTAATTCAATAATTGCACTAGTAGTAAGACTGCACATCAACCAATAGTGCAGATAGTGTGAAAAGTGTCAATAACAAGCCTCAAAGAAAGACAACCCCCTTTCGCTAACATATTTGATGAGAAAAAGGTTTCATTAAGACACATTGGAGTTCGCTAACACTCTATCAGTTCTTCACCTAGGCCAGATAACCAAGAATAGCTAAAGAGGGATACAGAAAACATGCCAAGATCCACTCAGTAAAGGAAATTGGAAAGCACTTCTTGCACAAAAAATTTGACTTGGCAATCTTGGGAATGATTTATGAAGAGAACTTTTACTAGGATAGAATGTCCGTGAAAAAGATAGAAGCTCTGCTTTCCATGCAGTCGACTTAGATATCTGTCTTTTATGAGGACCCCTCACTATTTAATGATTATCAGGAGAATTCAAGATGGGCAGCAAAGGAGACCATATAACAAGTCTACTAGCTGTCGCAGGCTCTGCAAGAATCTGGAAGACCAGTGGCAGGCATACTAGAATTATTGTTGAAGTGAAAAGTTATATGAAAGTAAAAAAAATAGATCCATGACCAGACCAGATAAATACCCACGTAGGCAATGAACCAGCATGAAAACACATGCACGCGCGTACACACAAGCATTAATGCCCTAAACCACCAACCTAACCCATACAGTGCCTTTCCCCAATTTCATAATAAGATAATGAATAAAATGTGAGGGCACATGGTTATATCTTATCTCACTCAACATTCAGTTAGAGGCAGTAATATGACATCATATCATATACATGATACAACACATAAATGCAAACAGCACTCAAAGAAGTATACTACATTAGGATTCGAGTTTGTGCTTGGTTGGTTAAGGTGTACTATATCATAATGCTGGATTACCCCTGAAAAGAAAAATGTATAATAAATTCTGTATGAAAGCAAAGTGACCCAATGGTATTGGTCAAGCTTAGTTCTCCTTACTTGGGTAGATGCATCATAATCAACGTCAAAGGAAGAAATCCTTTATATTTGCATAGGAATCCAAACCAGAACAGAAATACACAAAAATGATAAATTACAAATAGAATGTAAGGAGGCACCAACGTGTTGTTTGAAGAAACTATGCCGCTTTCCAGCAGATCGAGGACAAAGCAACACCTGCACGGATGAATGCTTAAAAAACCTTCGTGTTTCCTCATCATGGGTTTGCATGACACCATCCTGCATAAATGCAAATTAAAAAATGAGCTAGCAAGTGTATATTGTTCCCTTCAGTTAGACAAGCAGGTAAATACACATTGCAAGCACAATGAGATAGGGGCATAAGGAGATAAACATAGAAGAATTCATGGCATGTTTTTTTCTACAAAATGAATTTTTATGCCAAGAAAACTAGAGTTATGAAATCTCATAAAATAAAATGAAAAACTAGCATCACATATATACATAATAAAACAAAAAGATGCAGTCTCCAAGGGATCAAATAAAACAGAAGTTCACAGAAAACCAACAAAGATAACCATGTAGTACCTACAGAAAGGCTTCATTTTCTTACCGTTTTGATACCAAGTAGGCTCCTCGAAGTGGGATCATCCCACACAAGGAGCAACACCCGCACGCCTTCCTGTGACTTGGACCTAAGAAGATCCCCAAGTGTGCAATCACAATCATTAACACCCTGCTCCCTGACCAACTTAACCTTGTGATAAACCGACCACCCAGTAATATAAATCAACCGTCGAGCTTGGCTTATTGCTTTATAAACATCCTCCCAACACTTTCCATGCTCATATCTCAAACCCCCATCAAGCTTCAAACCAGGAAAGAATCCATCAGGCACATGAGCATCCTGATAAAGAGTAACTTTCCCTCCCTTCCTCAACGGAAAATAAGTATCAGGCACCCCGCAATAGTCAGGTCCAACACCTACTCCAAACTGATAAATCGTCAATTTCTCCATTGGAATAAACTGAATAGAGAGCCTAAGAACAGCTCCAGCTTTACAAGGTTTTCCATTTGAACCCAAAATTGGGAAGAGTCCTTCAACTTTTGAACCAGAGCAAATTTGCTCAGTGGGTATGGAAACTGTCCCAATAAACTGACTACCAACAACATCATTATCCTTAACAACGAATTGTACTTCTGCTGCATAATGCGCAACAGGGACCCAACAATGCTGATTCCAAACTGGGTTCTCGCTATTACTGATAACGTAAGTCCTTGCGACTACTGCTTTAGACACATGAACTGATACATATGGGTCGCTGGTAATGTGTTGATGGGGCATGTGGCCCTCATTCTTACTAGCCACAGGGGACGAAAATCTCTTCCCAAACATGTCGCCTAAGGTCTTGTGGAATGTGTCCATGTTGGGTAGGTTATTAGCTTCAAGGATCCATATGTCCAAGTTCCCATGTAAAAGAAGAACCTTTAAAGAGCCTTTTGAGGGCTCAAATGGTACAATTTGCAGTGTCTGGTTATGTTGTGAGGAATCCATAGATGGTGAAACTAGAGAGGGGTGAGAGAAAGGCTTTGAGTTTGGGCTAGGAATGCTATTGAAAGAGCTTGAACCAGAGAGAGAACCAGGAGAGGGGTGAGAGAAGCTACCACCCTGAGGCCTCGGGCTCTGGCTGCTATTGAAAGAGTGAGAGCCGTATAAAGAGGCAGATGGTCGTTCTGACAATTGAATACCTGACACAAGATCCTCCACAGGCGGGTAAAGAGAATTCGAAGATGAAGAGAAAGAATCAACATGAGAAGAAGGTTTCGGGGCAACAGGAGATGAAGTCACTTCTATCAGGTGCCCCGAAACACTCTCTTGCGGAAAATGGTAATGTGGGTTGTTGAAAGAAGAATTATACTGAAAATTCGGCGGATTCGCGAAACTGGGTTGAGGTGAATTGTAGGCTACATGAGGTTCATGATACAAATGAGGTGGTGGATCATAAGAACTTGGATATGGGGGTGGTTGATAATAAGAACTGGGATATGAGTATGTATAAGGAGGGGTACTTGGGTATGGATATGGAGGTGGGATATGGTCTAAAGGACCAGAGTGGGGGTAGGCAGGGTGAGAAGGGAGAGAGTTGGAGTAAGTGTAAGGATGGTTTGAAAGGGGACTATAACCATGGTGGGGATGTGGAGGACACGGCGGCCGATTCTCAGAGTTTGGAGGAAAGGGGGAGAAGAAGGACTGAGAGTCCGGCCCAGGACGGTTATCAGAGAAGGAGTGGGGATTGTAGTTTTCCATGGAGGAAAAGAGAGAACCAATAGAAATAAACAAGAAGAAGAATTGAATTTGTCAGAGAGAGTTAGAACAACGGGGGCGTCAAGAGAGAGAGCGAAAAAACAGGGAAAACCTATCCGATTGGTAGGTGTGTGTTGTGAGTGAGTCACACAGGAACACCAATTTAATTGCTTTGTAAGAGAGATCAAACAACAAACAATCAAAGAAAAGGAGAGAGATCAAACAGGGAAAAACAATTCCATAGCAAGGTGTGAGGGAGAGTCACAAAGGACAAACAACTCAATTGCTTTCTTAGTTAGAGAGACAGAGAGAGAGAGTGGTACAGGAAACAAACAAGAGAGAGAGGAAGCAAGAAAAAACAATTCTACGGCAAATGGAAGCAAATAGAAAAAACATTTCTTCACTTGCTCCAAAAAAGAACCCCAAAATTGAAGCGATCAAACCACAGACCGCAATCCCATAAAATCCTGTTCTTTGGACCAAATATGAATCTTTAAAATCAAAAGAAAAAACCTTATAAAATCAGGAATTGAAAAACCTTAAACAACAAGGAATCAGAAGAAAACAAGAAACCGAAGAAGATCAAAGACGGTAGCTCACCTTTCAAGGGGAGTTCCTGTCAGTTTCTAGGGCACCAAAAATAATTAGTCTCATTTTTGAAGTAATTATTTACTCATAATATTAATAAATTCGGGGACATTAATGCTGGCGAGGAGCTCAGATCGCCGAAGACCGGCCAGATGAACGGCTCCGGCGACGCGTCACGCGGCCGCCGCTTCTTCTTATTCTCGTCCTTTTTCTTCAAAACAAAATTCAGTATTGATTCTCTTCTTATCACCGGTCGTTTTTAGCGCGTATCACTTAGTTTTCCTCTTCTTCGCCGGTCGTTTTTGGCGCGTATCACCAGTCATTCCAAAGAAACTTGTAACGTACTCCCGCGGGATCGTCTGGATACCAGAGAGTTTTTTACTTTATTTATTTATTTTTAAGGTAAAGCATCTGATACGCATTATATATTATGATGAGCATGTGTACTATGGTCTCTTTGAAGCATAATTTACTTCTACTCCTTAGGTCCGAAGAGCTACTTGGAGGATTTTTTTTCTATATGGAAATTTTGGGAACCACTTAAAAGATAACTAGGTGATTATTTTCAAAGTAAAACGTTTGAATTTTGAGTTTTCTACTAACCTCTAAAAATTGAACGATCTATATTCCATCTCGAGACATCTTTTTTTTTCAAGTGCACAGAGGGTTCAATTATGAATTTTCTTCTATGAGATTAATTCATGGATTGAAGAGGTTACATCCCAAATTTGCTTCCTATTATCATTTCTAGGAGTGTTTTATGCGATAGAGTAAATGGACAGTACACTCCTACGGGTGTATAATATTTGTTGGCTCTTTTGGATAATCATCTATCCGTACATATCTGTTACGTATATTATATATTATATAATCTGGCACTAGTGGTGGAGATCACTTAAAAATTATCGTATTTATTATTGTTTACATTTTTATTGCAAATAAACTAGAGAGCATAAATAAATTTTAGTTGTACAAAAACAAGAAGTTAAGAACAACTATTAGAAAGGAATAGGATAATGATTGAGATTTAATAAGTAAAAGTTAAATATGACAATAAAAAATTATGGAAGTTAAGAAGTAAATCCCATGTTATCTACCCACCAAAAAAAAAGAATATTTATTTAAAAATAGTTCAACATTCAAAATAAATAAATAAATCTACATATGGGATTGTATACTATGAGACCATTTACTTTTGGTAAGTTACAATCACCCGTAGTCATTGGATATGATATTTAATAGATTGAAGTGTGTTACAACATTCAAAAATTTTTGATGTTGTGCCTTCTCAATGTCACATCCTCAACTACCTGATTTTATGTCTAGCGGTTGTCAATAATAGTTGTGATCACCTTGTACCAAAGTAAATAGTCTTACTCTATATATTTCATATTTTACAATCATGTCCAACTTTTCAAAAACTTCAAATATATTTTAAATTTTATCTATTTTTCTACGCATCATAATAATTTCAAATTTAGTAAGTTCATATCTCCCATCATTGCCCACATATAAAAATATTAAAATAATTTAAAATAAATAAAATTATCAGACTACTTCTAAATAGTATGGAGGCAGTTTTATAATTTTATTTTTTAAATATTTTTCTAGGTATGTGGTGGTGATAAGTATGAACTTACTAAATTTGAGATTAATCAGATTTATAGAAAAAGAGACAAAAATAGAAATACACTTTGCAATTTCAAAAACTAGAACTTAATTATAAATATAAAATATATTAGACTATCTTTAACTATAAAAAATAAAATAGGATTTATCTACAAATTTCCCAAAAAAAAGGTACGAAATCAGCCATTATAGGCAATCTCTTGTTATTTGGTGAAATATCCTAGTGGTTAAGAACTTGTTAGGATTTTTGGTTTCAGCTTGGGATAAAGAATCACCTAGTGCCAAATTGGCTCAGAACTACCTTATGGTTCTGGATGGCTCAAACTGCTCCATTAACAGTAGAGATTCGGTCGATTTCCGATCTTGGGTGGTTTTCTTTTCTTTTCTTTTTTTCTAGTGGAGATTCCTGATTTCACAAATTTTCTCCTATTTTTTTCTTCCTTGATCCAACTTGAAAACATCAGGTAGGTTGCTTGATCCAACTTGAAAACATCAAGCAAGCTAAAATGAAATTCCCTTAGAAACAAAAAAAAAAAGACAGAAAACATCAGGTACGGTACATGTGGGTCTTGGTATCATCTGGGTCAGGTTCTTTGCTCATAAAAAGCTTCACAAACTATTATTCTTGACATTTTTATTCCCTTCTAGAATGCACAGGCCACTCTTTGAAAAAGGCTTATGCACCAGTTCCTTTTTCCTCAGATTGACCAGGTTAGAAGTTATTCTAGTGTTAGTGGTTAAGGCCTCAACATTGTATCTAAGGTTTGAAAGTTTGAACTTTAGTTTTAAGTTTGAATATTAGCTTACCTAACAGCCCACTCCACATAAAAACTTAGGTGGGGCTGCCAAATTTTTAATGTTTCATCTCAAGAATCATAGCTATTTTTTGGTCAATTATTGAAGGGTGTGGTTTTGGTAGAGCTGCGGTTTTATGAGATCCGGTAAAACCGCTGTTCAGAATCCCACAAACATTTCAAAACCAAACTAGAAAAAGCAAATTTGGTGCTGAAAACATTAGGAATAGCCTAATTTTTTGCCCCTGAGTACAAAAGAAGCCCTAAAAATCATGTAGATGTGATGGATCTATGGACACTTAAGATACTGTTTTTTGAGCTCTCAAAACTATTGAGCTGGCATGTAAGTCCCTTTTGAATATGAAGTTCCTAAAATGAAGCAGATATGGCAAGTTTGTGAGCACTTGAACTGAACCATCTATGTAACCAGTCACAACATAGACTAGTTTTAGGGCTAGAAATTTCTTTTTTTTTTCAATTCCATGATTGTCAATGTCGTGATGGTCAATTTATCGATTTATAAATTTTCTGATCCAAAACCATACATTCCAGCAAAATTTAAGGTGAGCCTGCCTAACAAAATACTTCTGGATCATTAAAAAATATTTGTACCGCTCTACAATTGCTGCTCCATATATGGTATTCAGTAAAAAAATATTTCTGAATCATCAAAAAGTATTTCCCTTTGGAACTCTAGCATGTTGGTGCCCATTACGATGATCTCAAATTTTATTTTTGCTACCGATTATAAAATTCAAAGCTCTAAAAATAGATAAGGCCTAGCGGACTTGTAAATACTCGAAAAATAGATTGTCTAGATAATGCGTAACAAGATAAAATATTTTTTTAGTTTGAAATGCATATAATTTTTTCATATCCATAATTGTCAACATCGAAATAATCTATATTCATTTGTGTGGTAATTAAAGGTCCCATATTAGACTCCCATTAACCTACCCAATAAGAGAAAAAAATACAAAAGAGAATGCCTAAAAGGGGTATTTTGAAACATTAATGGATATTTGACTTTTGCATTTTCAAGGTTTCAAAACAGGTGATACAATCAGGGCGTTTAATGTTTGGCGGGTGCTTCATTTAGGTCTAGATCTTAGTGTTACGGGCGAGAAATTTTATGAGTGTATTATTTTTTACAAAATGATTTTCTATTGACATTTTATTAAATATGAATTCTAATTATATACACCTAAAACAAAAAGGGTGTGGTTTCTATAAGGTTGAGGCCCTAAACAATCAAAGTAAGGCACACCTCTAAATACTACACCTCTAAATAGTATTGAAAGATTGATTTTTTAAACCAAAAATATTTGTGATGACCTAAAAGTATATCTTTATCTCTAATTATAAAATTTAAAGCTTAAACAATAGTGTAGATCAAGTAGATCTCTAAACATTTGAAAATATTGAAAATTGACGGCTCAAATAATGCAGTACAAGATGCACCATTTCCCAAACATGAAATCTTTTTATTTTATTTTTTCATGTCTATACATCTCAAGGTCGAGATGATCAATTATGGAGTTTTTCGACATCAAAACAACCTCTTAGAGTGAATTTTTGAGATGCACCTTAAGTTAGTTGTTTAGGGCCTCAGTCTTATATAAACATTTTCCTTTTAAAAATGATAAGGCTGATGATAATTTCTAAGATATACCAAACCTAATATATGTATATGTTCATTAGCAGTTTGTATATTGATATTTTAAAGCTGTTTTTAGATAATGACATATTTCTTTTTAAATTTAAATTAATAATTTTCTTCTAAATTGCTTATATGATATTATCAAGAAAGCATTGACGAACATTGTTTATATTTTTTTTAATGTTTTGTATGTATTGTATTTCAACATTTCGACCAATGGCCATGGGAGAAATATGCCCATATTTAAACTTTGTGAAAAGGATTTGCTGCTCCGTGGGAGCATAATATGCATTTTGCTCCCTCAGGTAAAAGTCATGTTAGAAACATTTTTTGGACCCCGAGTTTTGGGGATGTAGCCTCAAGAGCATAATAACCAACCTCAGGAAAACAAATTAAATAACACTATGTACCTCAAAAAAATAAAATCTCAAGATTAAACAAGAACCATCTAATTTTCGAGTGAAAGGTCTAGGTGTTCAAGAAGTTAAAATGTAGATTGTTTTCTTGGAAATAATCATTTGATGATGCTTAGATGGTTCCCAAAATTTCCAATAAAAAAAAATCCTCCTAAATCACTCTATTGCTTGAGGGAGTTGTTATACATATAGAGCATGCTATACGCGCTCACTTTATTTAGCTTCAAGTAAAAAATTTATTTATAATAAGAAATTTTGTAAAGACTAAAACTGTGAGTCACAAACCATTGGATCAAGGTCCATCCCGGGTTTTTTCGAGGGATACGAAATCCAAGGCAATCGTTGTTTGGAAAAAGGAAAATATTACATACTCAGCATGGGCATAGAATAAAGCTTAGACTCAATATCTGCTTTTATGTTTATCCAAAGACAATGGGTGATTAGCAATTGCATACTTTATAGCTGCTCCATTTCTTTCAGCAATAATAATTGCCCAATTCATGGTGAATGTAGAGTAATACCCTCTTAATACTATACTCCTATAGAGTATATTATTTGGTCCATCCTTTTCAAACCTAGGCTTATCCATTACAATTTAAAATATGAGGTTGATTCAAGAATAGTGTGAAGTCGCACAGACCATACGATTATGTCCCACATAATTTATCATATCCCCATTTCACAAATTTTAAACATTTTTTATTAAACCTTGCCCGGGCCGACTTGGAATTGCAAGAGTCGAACCTAGGACTTATGTCAGAGCCCCTATATGCGTAGTAAGGGATCAAGTCCAAGTCCCAGTCTAAGTCTGATTTTTAAAACTTCGAAGGGTCATAAGCTATAATTAAAGAGCATTTGGGTCCATATACGATAATGGTTTGCATCTTTTTCTCTATATTGACACTCTTGTGCATGAAGACCAACTAGAAGTAAGAGTGCTTCCCTGCAATGAGCAGTTCTTGATGACCCACTAGACCTTGGAAAAATGTTAGGTTTTTAAGCATTGTTGGTGAAATGTCAAATTCGAAACGACATACATTTATATATGTCGTGCAAGTTTCTTCCTTTTGAGCGAAAAAGTCCACCAAATAAACGTGTTGATCCCATTGATATCCCATTTCATTGAACAAAGCGATTAAGACTAAAAATTCAATATTAGTTGCTGGGAATTTTTGTGATATGTTCTTCATTATTTTAATTGGTGATTTCTATATATATATTTTTAAAGACCTTAAACAAAGAGATTTCGGCAAGGGATATTTTTGTATCTTACTATACCAAAGGTGAACGATCTCATTGAATATTTACATTTTTTTTCTTTAAGGGATATCTTTTCAAAAAAAGAATTATTAAGTAGGCCTCCGCACACATAGGGACTCATTCTATTTTTTTATTCAAACTATAGGCTTTTTATTGTTTTTGTTTGCAGCCAATACCAAGAGAAGTTTAGAGTAATTTTGACAAAACTGCCCTAAGATGGTCAACATGATTGAAAATAATAACTAAATTTTCTCTAAGGGTCGAATGGGCCTTGGGCAAAAACATTTTTGAGCCTAAACACTCAAGGGCACGAATCGACCTTCGAAAAAACCAGTGACTTAAAAAATAGATCGTTGACTAGGTACCGACACCCCTAAAATTGGTCTTGATCGGTAAATCAGTTGTTCGGATCGTCATTTTAATGTGCAAAAAAAAACATTGAACATGCAAAAAAATGTGAAAAAAATAGTGAACTGGCCAAAAACTCGTTTGGATCGATGAATTGGTGCTTCGGATTGTTGTTTTACTGTGTAGAATTGTTGGTCCCCTTCTAGACTTGGCTGTTTTCTCATATATACACAGCATCATAACAGAGTGACTGATTCCTAGGTTGGACTAGGTGATTCTATGCTGATCCATCATTTCTAGAATCACTGAAAAAAATTATTTTGGCCAACATTGGATGTTTCTTATTATGGGGGCATGTGTGCTCACAATGATCTAAATAATTCACCATGGGGGTTAATGCAAAGGAAAATACTATATGGATGTAATAACAAAAATAGTGGGAAAGAGACTTCAATGCAAGGGAGCTTTACCTTTTTTTTTTCGAGTTTTAATCTAAGGCTGTCGTTGTCGTTTGTATGAGGTATCAACCTCTAGAACTAAGGTGTACTTTAAAAATCTACTTGAAAAAGTTGTTTTTTTTTTAAAAGGCTACATAGGAATGGAACTAGAGATGTGCTATGAAAACCCCACCTCTACCATCTTGACCCAAGCTCAATTTCTTACTTGAAAAAAGTTGTGAGAGCACCAAAAAATCTATTTTAACCCAACTATGAAATTTAAACCTCCAAATCTATATATTGAAAATAGACAGTCCAGAGAATATGTTACTAGATGCACTTAGGACTTGAAATAATAACATTTTTAGGTGGATTTTTGATGTGCAACTAACTTCCACACTATAAGGTTGGTGCTTTATATAAATATTTATGCTCAAAATTTTTAGCAAGGAACGAAGCCCTGACCTAGTTTAGTCCACGCATTCCGATGTCAGATGATTGGGGTCATCTCAACTAATCAGAAGCCAACACGGCTGCTAATGGTGTTAAGGATATTGTTTGAGTTATTGACAATAATCATCACTTTTCAATATCCGCATTTCGAGGTGTCAGCTGATGTGCCAATTCGGCAATTCGAGCCACCGTGGATGTAATGGAAATGGGAGTGTCATTGACGCTGGAGTTACTGTAAGCAACGAGATCTCGACGACATTAACCCTAGAGTTAGCATGGCTTATAATGTAGTTGCTCCTAATCTGGGTCTTCTTTGAATATGGATCGTCTACTTCGGATTTCTTCTTATCTCGGGGCCATTCTTGACCTGTTGGGGTGTCTTACGAAAAAAGTAAAAACCATTGTTTATTTTCTCTTTAATGAGATGAGATGAACATTTATGAGATAACATGGTTTGCACGTGTAATGGGGTGCTAGACACGTACGATTCGAGTAACTTACAATGCCAGTCAAGTTGTTTTTTTTAAAAGATAAAACTAAATGGTGAGTCAACGTATTGTGGCAAGAGAGGTAAAGCATTTCAAAGTTTCTTCACGTTTTTTATGTTTTAAGAGAAAATAAACAACAAAAAAGATTTACGAAGCATATGTCTTTTACCGTCTTCCTTTTTTATGAACAAAAGTATATGCTTCATTATTTTTCAAAAATAACCCAAGGGTTTGGGTTAGTTCTCCCAAACATGTGTCTATTCTAGTTGTAGGACGAGAAACACATTAATTCACTGCAAATTTTTTTCAGCCTTAGATTCATGAATATGGAGCTCTAAGATCTTTGATTAACTAAAATGAATAGTAAAAAAAGAAAGTAGATGGAATTTTGTTTTTTGGGTGGACAAGATGGACGAGTTTCAAGGCTCAAAATTATAATTTAGGTCCATAATTATGGTGGTCGATATGATAAGCCTGTGAAGTATTGGATCTAAAATCCATCTTCAAGATGAAATTTAGAAGGTGGATATACTGTCATAGGTGAGTCAGAATCCTACTGGAAAAGGTAATAGGAGAAAACAAAGGCAAAACGATTATAAGCTCTCATGCTACATGCTTCCCTGGTAAAAAACCCTTAGTTATGAATATTTCAAGGTTCCTAAATTTCGGCATAATATATGTATATATATGCGGCTCTAAAATATATGGGTAGAATGAGACAATTTACCTTTTTTTTTTTTTAGGTAAGTCAATGGGGGAGAAGCCCCTTGCCCGTTTTTTATTAATAAAAGAAAACAATTTATCTTTGGTACAAGGTAATCACATTTAATCTTGAATATTGGATGTAAAATTGGATGATTGCATTTATTCTATTGACCAAGCCAAAATTTTTAAAAAATGCTTCTCAAATTTTGTGATAGACACAAGTTATCAAATTTCACATTGGATAGTTGTAACTAATTGTGACCTCGTTATATTAAAGGTAAATAGTTTCAGTGTGTACAATCCTAAAAAGTAATGCCCTGAAATTGAACACGGACTGTCCAAAAATTTGAAGTGTTCAAAAGCTCAAAGTCCAATTTTGTTTCGTGGAAATTAATTTGAAGTGTTCAAAAGCTCAAAGTCCAATTTTGTTTCGTGGAAATAATCATCCAGTGGAAGTTGGATATCAAAATTTTAGATTGAAAAAGTACCTCGAAGTTAATCTTCCATCCAAGGGATTATCGGTATGGAGTGCTCCACACCCATGAATGAAAGGATCCACGCACATGTCATGCCAAAGAATGAAAGGATCAATACACATGTGCAAGCTGTGTTTCAAAATTCAGAATTGGGTTCCAACTAGATAGGGTCTGCACTAGATTGATCTTGTCCGATTGCGCGATTCTTGCAGCGGATTGGTCTATATTTATTATTTAACAAAGAAACTAAAAAGAAAAGTTAAAAACCCCAGAATCGGGGCGATTCCGAGGTTCCACGGATTCGAATTGCTGCACTTCCTTTCCCAAATCAAGTCGGATCAACAATTTCTTAATCACTAGTTACAAGAACTAAGGTTTCTGAGCATTCATGATATAGTCCCATACTTAACTTCTTTGATAGAGTCTATGCACCTTTGAATCCATTCAAGAGATATGCATGAAATTATATTATGTCTATGGACACTGAATTCATTCAAGGCGTCAATCTTGCACTATAAACATTACTCTAACTAGAAGTATTCTTGACATTGATCACTCTATTATCTATAATAGGGACTGGTTCATGGTTATTTTACCCCCAAAGCACAGCAATTGGGCTCCTAACAGAGTATCCATTAGAGACCCACACAAGCTCTCCAAAAGAGGCTCCTTTGGTTTTACTAGAGACTACCATGAAAGTAACCTTATAACTATTCTTCTCACCTTTCTTCCCAAAGGCCAAAACCAAGGGATCTACTTTCACTACCACACCTTCAGGGGCCACAACCCTAGCCTCATACTTGCTCCCTTGAGTCCCCACATTGGTAACCACTCTACTGTAGGTCACTGAAGAATTATTAAAGCCTCCATTAGAGAAATCCAAAGAGAATGAAGGGTAGTTGAGGTCTCCGGGGAGTAGAGCCTTTTGAGTGGGGCAAGTGTAGCTCTGCCCGGCCATGATGGCCATTTGCGAGGATGAGTAGTTGAGACTGCATAGATAGTTTAGGTAGTCATCTGTAGAGATGTCATATACCAATCCAGGGTTTGTGGCTCTCTCGGGGTTCACGTGGCCTGACCCGAATGCAAAGGGTGTGGCTTGAGCCTTCTTGCCCATGTCTGTGATAGGCTTGCCTTTGTTATCGAATGTGTATGCAGTGGTCATGAGTGCCGACTTGATGGCTGCAGGAGACCAGTCGTTGTGCACAGACTTGAGCAACGCAGCTAGCCCGCTTACGTGTGGGCACGACATGGAGGTGCCGGAAATTATGTTGAATTTCACCCTCCTCTTGTCTGATGGCAAGCCAGAGGGGCCTACCGAGAGCGGCCATGCTGCTAGTATGTTCATACCGGGTGCAGTGATGTCTGGCTTTATGATATCAGTTCCAACTGCACTGGGGCCTCTGGATGAGAAAGCGGCCATTATGGGTGCGACAGAACCGTACATGGTCCCTTCGAACACGATTTGAGCCTTGGGTTGCTTGGTGGTCTTCATGTAAGTTTTTATGGCTTGGGCTACAGAAGCACCAACGGCAGAAGCCGGTAGGACATGGGCATCTGCAACCAACTCTTCACCCTGCTCCTGTGTGTTCAAGAGAAGCATGCCTGCACCCTTATTAATCTTCACCTGCTCTCCTTTCTGAACCCTTGAATTCATTCCGCGCTCGCAAACCACAATCTTTCCGGTGACCAATTTCTTCGAGAGAGATCCATCTGTGCAGTACTCGGAGCCCTGGTCTCCAGCAGTGTCAGCATAGACCAGAGGCAGTGACTTTGTAGGAGGGCCCGAATAAAGGGATGAGCCCTTGAAGGTGCGGCCATCACCAAGCCTAATGGAAGTGGGGAATGTACGGTCAAGATAACTGGCACCGACGGTCATGAGCCACGGGGCAGCATTGGAGACACTGGATTCAGAGGGGCCACTGTTTCCCGCAGAGCAAGTGATGAACACCCCCTTTCGGATGGCCCCGAAAGCCCCGATTGCAATGGGGTCACTGTAGTAAGGTCTAGGGCCGCTACCAAGCGAGAGAGAAATCACATCGACACCATCCGCAACTGCTTGGTCGATGGCAGCAATTATGTCTGAGGACGCACAACCTCCACCCCAACACACTTTGTAGACAGCAATCCGGGCCGTGTACCTGGTCGAAATTTCGGCAAGTTTAAGCAAAAGAGTGAAGTACTTTACTTCGAGATTAATGATCTAGAATGTCAATTATATCGGTGCCCGATTAAATGGTACTCCTTAATCTAATGATTAGCCCTTTGAATGGTGGGGATGGCCCTGCCCATTTGTTCATTTGTCTTCTGTAACTCTGTTAATCAGGTACTTGAACCCCAAGAAACATAATTGCCAATGTTGATATATTGCCTGTTCAAGCTGTTGGAGCTCGACAGTTCCAGGACAGAAAGCTTCGGGATCGCCCGAGTCTCTGGTTTTTCCATAAGAATCCATGTTTTTCTTCCTAAAATTCCCTGTTCTGACTCAGGACTGGCATGAGTCGAACTACAGGGACTCGAATCTCTGGTGCTTGACTCGAATATTGGGTGCTTGAGTCAGCACCTGATTAAGTTATTTACAACACTGTTTACAAGCGTTATTGCAGATTCACAGTATTGAGTTTCAGCATAAATGTTTGCAGACCGTTATATTTCCTCCATTTTGGTTAGAGGGAAAATATGTTATGCTCCTTAGGCGTATGCACCATGCCTATCCACTGTGTACATGCCTCTTTGGACGGCAGAGATTGAACAGGATCAGTCCGTACAAATAAGCTGATTGTAACCTTTCTCATCCAATCTCTACGGCCTAAAGTTGTTTCGATGGTGCATATGTCTCTGGGGAATGCTACAGTATACTCCAATGGGAGTAAAAAATTAAACTCACAATCCCTGTTAAGTTGATCCCTATTGGTACTGCACTTCGTATCAGAAAAAGTGTTGTACTAACCAGTTTTAGTACAAGCAACGGCTTTGTTTTTCTTTTCTTTTAATTGGAAATCCACGGTTAATGGTAATCATGAAATCTAAAATTTAAAAAATGGTGCAGGGTTTATAAATTTTTGAAAATCTTAAAAATAGATGGTCTAGATAATTTGTTACAGATGTATTATTTTTAAGGCATAATTTTTTTTTTCTTTAATCTTTTACTAGATTTTTGACGTGTACCTATGTAACGTTCACATCACTATAGCCGTCGAATGTCAACAACAGACAGATGTCAACATCGGGGGGCTGGGGTGTGCTTGCTCTAGTAGAAGTCTACTGGAAGTCTGTGAATAAATTTGACTGACTTTGAGTGGAGTGGGGAGGGACATGACTACTTTTGAGCAGAATAACAAACCCCAGCCATCCATTGTTGACATCCGATGGTGCGAAAGTTACGTAGGAGTGTTCACAGCATCATTGTGTGTGAGCCGATTAACAGAAAGCAGTTTGTGTTACCTCATCCCAGCAGCTGACCCCTTGGCATTGCCCAGCACATTCGCATTGGCAATGAAATTTCCACCTGCAGTCGAAGCCGTGTGCGTGCCGTGGCCTTCCGAGTCCCGAGCTGATCGATACTCGGAAGTATCATTAATCTTTGCCCCATTTGCTTCATAGCCTTTGAAATACGCCCGAGCCCCTACAAGCTTCGAGTTGCAATTAGCTGAAGTGAATTTAATCCCAGTCTCGCATATACCCTTCCATCTCTCGGGCACGGCCACGGTCTTGTGATCGCTGCTAAAGCTTGGGTGTTCAGGCCACACACCAGTGTCAACCACTGCGATTATAACATCGGAGGACAAGTTTGTGTTGCTCCAAAGACCTTGGCCTAATTGAAGGCCTAAAAATTGAGGTGAGTGTGTTGTGTGCAATTGATATAGAGTTTCAGGGTATACTGCCAGGAACCCCTCTAACTTTGGGAGGGCTTCAGCCTGTTTGGCCGTGAGCTTGGCAGCAAATCCCGACATGGTTGTTCGGTAAACGTACATTATCTCTGGTTCGTGGCTCTCTATGCCTTCTTCTTCTTCTTTGAAGGCCTCCATTGTTGAGGTCATGAGGTTTTCATACCATGTTTTGGCTTCAATTGGAGAGAGGGAGGCTGATGGGGCTTTATCACCGTCCATGTGAACAATATAAGTTTGAGGGATTGGTGGTGAGCCATAGGTGGCACCCAAAGCTAACATAGTTAGAGCAAGAATCACCATAAACCCCACTGGTGTCCCCATGCAAGCAGCTGCAAAATAATGACAGGACTTGAAATTTTGCAGGCCCACTATAGAGGACCACATTACATTAGATATGGAGAGAAGATGGCTTTGTAATGCAAGAACTTAGAATTTATAGGCCAACTCTAAAGCACCTTATTTCTTTTTAGAGAGAGAGAGAGAGACGCTATGATTTTAATTAGGCAGTTCAGCACTACACGTTCAAGGGTTGAAAAAAAACAAAGACACTACTTCTAGCTTCTCATCATTGAGAAGTGAACATTCTATGTCTTGTAAATTCTAAGAAAGGGTATTTCAGATATATTTTTTTGAGCAGGTGAAGTTCTGTAAATTCTAAGAAAGTATAATGTTTTCAAAAATCCAAAAACTGACAACGTTCCTTATTTTAACAGTAGTGTGGCATGGGCACACTTTATATATTTACTCAGGTGAAAGAGGCACGAAGGAGGAACTTTTCTCAGTTTCAAAATTTGAAATTTGAGAACCACTTTAGAATCATGAGTATTTTAAAAAAGAATAAAAAGGATTTTGAATTCCTAAACACTTATATCCATTGGTGTAAAAAACAGATCGGTGACCCGGATCGGGCTTCCAAAAAACCTATCCGGATCGGCGATTCGGTGATCCGGATCGAGAATCGGGTAAATCGGTCATAATAAAGCTTAAAAAAAATCCGAAAAATTTATTAAAATTCATTATAAATATTGTTTTTTTAGGAATTCAATAAGAAATGAGGTACTCCATTAAGAATTTTCATGTTTTTGAATGAATATGCGAATATTGATTTGTTCTTTCCCTGCATGAACCGCCATTTAGCATTTAATTTACATCACACAAAAGGATAAACATATAATTATCATGGAATAAGTATATCAACATACATGGACTACAATAAAGACATAAAAATTAAGTAACAATATGATCTAAAAATAAAATGATAGACGACGTTTATTGTTC